CAGATAAATATCATTTGTGTACATACGCGCGCACACTCTTCTGTGTTTTATATAATTTGGAAAGCTCTACACAACCTCAGACATCATTTAAATGTTTCTCAATTAACTATTTTACTTACAATTCTTAATCCTTTCTTCATGTTATGAGTCAACATGCACTAGATAGAGACTACATATTTTTTTCTGCTGATTCCAAAGTCATAAAACATTGGGAAGAAACTGCATAATAAGAGCATGCTAAATTTTCTGCAAGGCAGACAAATTCTTTTGTTAGATGTATACCAGTAATTTACGCCTTTCTGAAAAATGCTGTCCTGGCTTAGGCAGTCCTACAGACAGGATAACGTCTAATGCCAAATGGGAAACTGATCTTCTGAATGAAGAGGAATCAGCCAATGTATTATTTCTTACTGTGTCAATTGAAACTATAGGAGAGTGTATCCACTGCATAGTTTTGACCACTTTGAGAGAGGGAAACCAGCACAGCTTTCTCTCACTCTACCAGTATCCTTCAAAATTGAAGGAAGCTTCACATGCATCCCAGCATATTTTGGTTTTCCTTCCCAGTCACATCTCAGCCAGCACCCATGCACACTTGAACCCCACGGGATAGATACTCTGCACAGTTGACAAAGGGAGGAGTATGGAAAGATAGCTCTTCACCCACTCTGTTCCTTAATATGGCGGGGGAGGGGGAGAAGGAAATGGAGGAAAGGAGCAAAAACAACCTCCCAGCATAGGTTAGAGCAGTATAAAAGCTACTTGAAATTGCTAGAACTCAAAAATTAATCAGGAGCATTGTACACTCCACTCAGCCCCCAACAAATCCTCTTTGTGACTCAGAAGGAAGCCTCAGTTGCCCCCAATGAACAGCTTTACAGTGGCGCTGAGAATACAAAGCAGCTACAGGCAAGGTCAAGAATCTGGCCCCCAGAGTGAGAGATGGGCATGTTTAGAACTGGGTGGCTTTGTTCAGTTTTCATTCATATCTCAGAGTTATTGTTGTAGTTTTGTGCATATAAATAATCAGAAGAGATTTCCCAACCACATTTCAGTGTAGCAGAACACAAACGAACACTTACCAGGCCATTCTGCAAGGCTGTTGAATTGGCAACACTTCCAGCACATGGCATATCACTGTGCCCTGATGCCCCAGGCCTAGATGCTATTTTATTCTCATTCAGTTGTTTATTTAGCCAGGAAATTACTACAAGGGAAAAATGCCTGAAATGAACATTCAGCTTTACATAAAATATAACAGATTCCTGATTTATCTGGATAACCGAGCACTAAAGAAATTGCAATGAATTAAAGCATTACTTTGAGGACACATCCAAGCAAGGCCAACTGAGTTAATTTCAGAATAAATGGAAATACACTAATTATACAGCATATGTATTTTCAAAAGACAAGAGTAATCAAATACATTGATCACGCCACCATAGGTATATTAAACATTCACACAAGTTATTTACCATATTAAGTGCTGAATTCAGGTTCATTGAAATAAGTCAATTAAATGAAGTTTTAGGGATTATCTCCAGAGCTCTGCATATCTGCATCCACCAAAATGATCCACAGATATCCACATCCATGGATGTGGATACCTGCAGATGTCAAATGGATATCTGCAGATATGCAGGGCTCTAATTATCACCACATACAATAGGGAGACAACTGAACCCCCTCCTACTGTGCTGAGCACCAAGTGTGAGGTCTCAAACACCTTCAACTCCCATTGAAATCACTGTTCTTTGTTTCCTGATAGCTAGGTCTTAGATGGGGATGAGATGAGAGTTAATCTAGTTTTATAGTATTTTAACAAATCAAAAATTGACTCATGCCTAAAGATGCACACAGAGAAATTCAATATCAACCTTTTCCAGTTCAAAAATAAAATGTTGACCTTGAAATTGGTTTCAACTCATAACAGAGTGGAGAAGCAGAAAAACTAAAATGCATTTGAATACAAATGCTTTGAACTAAAACCGTACCTTGTTAGTTTACATCACCATTCCAAAAAGTAACTTTTACTTTGCTTACCATTTGTTTTCAGCAGCTGTTTGCTTTCTTCCAATTTTTGAACAGTAGTATCCAACTGCTCTTGCAACTTGAAGACCTGAAAACAGTAATGAATTTATAATAAATAAGTCATTAATCTGAGAAATTTAGTCTTTATAAGCAACACAAGAGTAAAAACTGTTTCCAGGAAGAACTGCTTCAATACCAATACCAACGTTTCTACTCCTACACTTTCTCCATAACAATCATTATGATACAGGTTGGAGCTCCCTGGTCTGGCATTCTGGGGCCTGGAGCCATCTCAGACCAGGGAGTTTTTGCTGGACCACGGGAGGTCAATGCTCCACTGCTGGCTGCCCCACTGTCGGCTCCTCTCCCTGGGGATCTCAAGACTGGGGTTCCCTGCTCTGCCGCTGTCCCACTAACACTGGCCTGGCTGAGGCTCCCCACCTGTTGCATCCGGGGTCGCCCAGCTGCCACCTACCCCACTGCCTGGCTCTGCTGCCCTGGGGGGGGGGAACCCCTCCAGGGCCACCTGGCCTCACCCAAACCCGCTGCTGGCAGGGGTTTCCAGGGTTTCCCAGTTAGGGCCACCAGGACAGCTCCGCTGTCACTGGGGATTCCCCTGCTGGGGTTGGGACTAGGACTCCCAGCTGCTGCCTGGCCCCACTGGTGGGGTTCCCTGGTTGTGGCTCCTGGAATGTTGCATGGCCCCACTGCTGCCAGGGAGTTCCCAAGGTTTCCCGCCTGGAGCCGCTCCAGCAACCTGACCCCTCTGGCACCATCGTGGTGGCTACGAGGTGCCATCTTGCCCAGCTGATACCCGGGCTCTCTTGTCTAGCTACTGCTGGCCCAGCCAGGACTCCACAGACCCCACTCCCTCATGGCTTTTTGGTCCAGCAACATCTGTGGCCTTGCTGGACCATGGATGTTGCTGGACCAGAGAGTCCCAGATTTGAGAGGTTCAACCTGGACTAATAAAACACACTGTCATTTACAAGAGGGGTCCAATTATTAATTGTTTTGTTTTTTTAATTGGCAACCTGCCTTCCAGAAGATTGTGGTAAAGTTTGTATATAATAGGTAAATCTTAAATAAATACTTGCATTGCTTTATACTTTTTCATGCATACAGGCAGTCCCCGACTTACGCGGATCCGACTTATGTCGGATCCACACTTACGAACGGGGCTTTCTCGCCCCGGAGGTCGAGGTAGCGGATTGCTACCTGCGAGCTCCGGGGCGAGAAAGCCCCGTTC